GCAGAACGGTAGCTGGTTTGGGTTGATCAGGGTCTGCTGCTGCGGCAGCGGCTCGCGAGCGCGTAAGGGGAGGGGTGAAATTAGGCGCAAGGCGGCGGGTGGGGTTAGCGCCTGAGGGGGTCTTGGAAGACCGAGGCGGAGGGGTGGGGCGGGGAGGTGAGACGGAAGAATCCGAAGTCGATTCGGCCCGCCTATTGCGCCTCCTGTGCTGGGAAGAAATTGTTAATTGTCTTCGCAGTCGAGTCCTGCTGCGAGAGAAGTTAGGTGAAGCTGGATCGGAAAGGCTGGGATATATGAGACGGGGGGGAATGAGATTTTTTGGGGGATTCAGAGGAACAGGAAGGCGACCCAGAAGGATGTTTACGCGGAACTCCTGGAGACCTAGGAATGGAGCGTTTAGAGGCGTGGGGAGAAGGTGTAGGCGACTCCTTTTTGTACCTAAAAGAAACTTTTGAAGGAGGGGGGATAGAGGAGGTGGCCCCCGATTGGACAGGGCGGGAAGGAGTGGTGTCACGAGGTCGGGGAGGCGGGGGGGGGGTCGTCATCGGGGTCCATGGTCGGAGCGGAGGGTTCCTGGAGGGAGGGTAGAGCCAAAAACATGTGAGCCGGTGAACAGTGTGACGAGGTAGATGGGTCAGTTTTTAGAGCCATATAAAAGAAGGCCATCACGTACATTAATTCCTTCCATTTAGCTGACCGGTGACAAAAATTTGCCAGCTCCCGCAGAGTGTCAGGGTCAAATGATCCCTGAGAAGGCCAGCGAATAGAGCCCTGTAAATTGTATTTAGGCCAAGTCTTGGAACAAAGCCGTATTAACTTGGAGAGTTTTATGGAGGGAATGAGGGCGTGGGGTTGGAGAGCTTCCAGAAGCTGTCTGAGCGGGGAAGATGGGGGGACCGGTTTAGAATTTTTTGAGCCCATGGCCGAAGTGCAGCCCAGCCGCAAAAGGTACCAACAGAGTACCGCGAACACGGCAAGCCAAAAACGCAGGCGTCCGTGCGAATTTGGGGCATGTTAACACTTAACTGCCCCGAGCCCAGCAACCGTACAGGAGAGAAAGTCCCGGCTGGGAGGAGGCGATTAAGCTCTTTAGGGCACAGGGCCCGGAGGTGCCACAAAAAGTGGGCCGAAAGTGGACAGGAAAAAGTTAGAAAAAAAGGAAGAAAGAAGGAGAAAAAAAGCCCGGAGCACCGAACTCCGGGTGCGCGGACTGAGCGTTTCGGCCAAGGGCAAAAAAAAAAAACGGGGGAGGCGGGTTAGCAACCTAGCCCTAGACCGAGGTGTGCAAAGAAAGCCGGCCGGACAGTCTTTGAACGCCCCAGGGGGAAGGAAGCCAACTCAGGGTAACTCACGGATCAGGATGAAGCTGTTGAAATGGCCGTGGAAACAGGTGGTGGTGAGCGAAGGCTGTCGGTTCTTTGGACCTTGTCGGTGAAGCCCAGAGGCAAAGCCTCGGGCACCGGACGGAGAGGTCTCCGAGTCGATGCGGCGGCACCAAAATGTTGTTCTTAATTCCCATTTGTCCTATGGGGTAAAGACGATTACGCAGGGAAAAGACACAGACACGTGCGGTACCACGTGGTACACTTTTTAATGGGAGGGGAAAACACACTAGGAAAAGTGAAAGGAAGGGACAAAGGGAAGGGTTAAAGAAGGGGAGGGAAAGGGCGAACTCGTGGCTTGTCCTTGCTTTTAACAGAGGATGCAAAGGCTTCTGGGAAATGTGTCCCGCGCTTGCCGTCCAGAGGGCTGTTGGGAGTTGTAGTGTTGCAAGGGAACAACATGTAATATTAACTATATAAAAATGTGTTGCATTTATTTAATTATGTAAAGATGTTTTACCTTGCCCGCCTAAGGTACCTGATTAGTCTAATAAAAAAATGGAATGTCCAATAGCTAGGTAGGCAAGGGACAGGCAAGGCTGGCGAACAGAGAGAGTAAGAGGAGGAATATAGGGGACAAGGAGGAAGATGCCACGGGTCAGCCAGTCAGGCATCTGCCAGACAGACAGACATTGAAGAAACAGGAAAGTAGAACATACAGAATGAAAGAAAGGTAAAAAACCCTAAGACAAAATATAGGTGAAGAGAAATAGGAAAATTTAAAAAGCTAGCTAGAAACAAGCTAAGCTAAGACCGAGTATTCATAACTAATAATAAGCCTCTGTGTCATGATTTGGGGGCTGGTGGACTGAGAAATCCTGTTATGAAAAAATATGTGGCCTCATGTCTGATATCTGTAATTCCAGCTGATAGGGAAGCTGAAGCAGGAGGATTGAAAATTTAAGGGAAGACTGCTTGAATGAACCCCTGACTCAAAAAGTTAAAAATGGCTGAAGATATAGCTTAGTGGTTGGATGCTTGCAACGTATATTTTGTTTGTTTCTAAGACAAAATCTTCTACTGTTGTCCAGTCTGTCTTACTTATTATTCCCATCCTCTTGCCTCAACTGCCTAAGTCCTGGAATTACAGGCATGAGCAAGTATTGTTTAGTTTAAGGGCAAAAGTCCAACTTCTTTCCTGATGTTTAGTGTAGGACAATTGGCTTCTACTCCCTTCCCTTACCCTCTTACCAGACCCATTTCCTCTTTGTCTTCTTAGATATGCCCTGGAGTTTCCTGGATTCTGGGCTGCTCGGCTTAATATGAGGCTTGCTTACCTTGAGTATCTTTTGCTAAGAAGGACCACCATATCTAGAATATGTGGGTTCCACTGCTCTCTCAAACGCATTACCCCTACCAGGGAACTGAAGATTTTATCTTTAATTTGTCTCCACATTTGGAGGCCACCTCTGCTCTGGGATTCTCATCGTCAAGTCTGGGTTAACATGAAAACAGGAGTATTACATTGTTTTATAGTGTGAGATGGTAATATGCATTCCTTATTGGTAACAAATTGCAAGATCTACTTACTGGCAGGCTCAATACAGTAACATCACAGTTAAAATTATTCAGACTACAGGTAGAGCTTGTAATTTAATTTTTAGATCTGTACAAAGCTGCTGCTACAGGACCTGTAATGATCTGTACATGTCCTTCGATGACAAAGTCACAGGTGTGTCTGAACATGGGTTCTGCTTCCTATATTTGTAATCATGGGAAATGCCAAATTTCCACCATCAGTTTATTAAAATAAGGATAAAATAAGTAGAGGCTAACGTGGAGAAACAATCAGCTCTTGGTCTAGGCTCTGGGACATCATCTTAGGAACCCTATGCTAAAACCTGACTTTGACAGTGATGACACTGCAATGCCTAACCGGTCTCCTGGAAGACTTGAAACATAGAAATGAAGAGCGTAATGCTCCCCTTTCAAGGTTGTTTTGTGTATTTACAATATTGGCGCGAAAGGGCCAGCGCTCACCATCCGGGTATTTTGCTTCTCTCGCTTTGCTAGGGAAAATTCAAACCTCGAAAAAGGGCGGACCCGTAAAGCTGCCATACGCCTGCGCAAGGGCGGGGCGGATGACGCGAGGTGATGCGAGTGGCGCAGGCTGCTCCCGCGCTGGCTTGACTCCCGTGCTGTCAGCCTTGTTGGGCCGCTGGAGAGGGTGGCCTGGCGCGCCTCGAATCGGAGCGCGCACCCGGACCCATTCGGGCGGAGCGGGCGGTGGCAGCGAAGCCCAGGGCTGGTGCGGATGGGCCTGGGAGCGGGCGGAAGCTCCGCCCCCGCGCGTTCATGACGTCACCTTTGTCGCTCCGCCTCCAGCTCGCCCCTGTGGCGGGGTTTTGGCTGGCTGTTGAGTGTTCAGGGCGGGAAAGGAGCTGCTTCCCAGCCAGACATGCAATGGCGTCTCCTCTCTGCTACCGTTAAACACTATGTACCCTATCTCCACAGCTAGTTAAAGGCTATTTCTCGGGGTTGTGTCCCTTCAGCGACCCGGGAGACTGTTCGGGGGGGGGGGGTCAAGCCAGCCTAGGGGGAGTTACATCTTCATCCGGGCATTCCCAGATGCTGTGGCCATCTTTGTTTTGTGCTGAAAGTCGTTATTGACGCCTGCAGAGGACCCAGTGTGGGGAAGTGGCAAGATGGCGGCTCCCAGGGAGGAGGCGTGGGTGGAGCGCTGGGGTGGGGGGGCACGCAGGGCGGGGCACTACTGCACCTGACCCGAGCTCAGCTCGTGCTCTAGCCTACTGCGCAGCAGCGCCTGCTCACCCGCAACCAGCACACTGCACTTTTAAGAAGCTTGAATATTTTATGAGCCTTGGGTCCTTTAAGACGCCTAAGCACAGAGGCGGGGACGTGTGAGTGCAAGGGAGCGATGACGTCTCCTGACTCCGCCCCCTCGCCCGACCGCCGCCATGTTTAGTTGTTACTTCTTCACACAAGATGGCGGCTCCCAGGGAGGAGGCATGAGCGCCCTGCCGTTACCGCTGCTTCTGCCGTACAGTTGTCACTTCGGGGCCTAACTCGTGCTCTTTCGAGCGGCTCCTGTGGGAAGGAGTCATAAGAAGGGAAGCAAGGATTGGACGCTACCTTGTGTTTGGTTTGCTGTGAAAGAACTGTCTAGGAAGAAGAGAATAGGGGGAAGGGGAAGCTAGTCTCAAGATGGCGGCTCCCAGGGCGGCAGGCATAGCCTGAACAGCAGAGGCGGACTCAAGGGAGAGGTGCGAAACCTCAGGAGCCGTACGGCGACGCGGGGTCCCCGAGACTTCGAGCCGCTTCTTCCAGCTTCTGACGCTCCTTTTTTAGGAACGTTGGGGTTGTTCTGAGATTGGCAGCTCTACTAAGTGCTGGGCGGGGAAGCAAGACGGTCTCAAGATGGCGGCTTCCACAATTGTGGTCTGACTACTGGCGGGGTTGAGACAACCGCGGCATTTGTGGCTCTTTTCCACCCGCCCCGGAAGCCAGCCAGTGCTGGGGCCTGGGGGGTGTGGGAACCGGGCCGGGGCTCCGCCATTTCCGGCGGGGGAGGGCTACGACTGAGGAAGGGAGGAGAGAGAGGCGTCTCAAGATGGCGGCTCCCAGAGCCTCCTGCCCGAGCTTCTAAGTGGGAGCGCCCGGGCAAATAGTTAGAGCGGCGGCGCTCAGTGGCCTCCCGCTTTTCGGGAGTAGATGCTCTACCGTTTCGAGAAGCTTTAAAGGAGGCGAGCCGAGTGAGAAGGGGGGGAAGAGCCAAAGGGAAGGAGGATAGTTAAGATGGCGGCCTCCATGGAGTCGTCTACCGCCGTGTAAGGAGCCGCTTCTCCGTGAGAGCTGCCTTAGAGGAAAGGGGGTGTGTGAAGAATTAAGGGTCTCCCTCCCGATCAGTGACTTCTTCCCACTGCATCCTTAACCTGAACTATGGCTTCGGCTGTGTCCCCTGCCAACTTGCCGGCGGTGCTTCTGCAGCCCCGCTGGAAGCGAGTGGTGGGTTGGTCGGGTCCAGTGCCCCGACCCCGCCACGGCCACCGTGCCGTGGCCATCAAGGAGCTCATAGTGGTGTTTGGCGGCGGCAATGAAGGGATAGTGGACGAACTGCACGTGTACAACACTGGTGAGTGTAAGCCCGCTGGGTTCCCAAAGCCCTCCACCGCTCACTCTTCCTCACTCTTCACAGTCTTCTCCCGTCCTTCCATCTCGCTCTCACACTGCCCTGCTGTGCTTCCCTCCTCTCTTTGCTCTGCTTGCCATCTCCGCTTCTCCCTGCTTATTCAACCCCCGTTCTACACCCCCGGACTCTCCTGTGTTTAAAGGTTGCGTTTGGTACTTAGAGAAACCCTCTAGTCTGACTGGTGAGGGGGAGGGGATGTCGCCGCCGATGGTGACTTCAGACGTACACGTTACCCGGCAGGCTGGGGCTGGCGCGGCAGCGGATGTGTTCTTTTGGCGCAGGCGGAATCCTCCCCCCCCTCCTGCGCATGTCCTCATCTCCAGCGTCCTTGCTCGTTCGTGAGAAAATATGATTTCTGTTATCACAGATCCATTCTGTACACCCAGAAAAAGAGGGGAGCACTCTTAAGGAGCAGACTTTTAACAGCCTAATGCGACCCTCGTGTCAAGTGCCGATGGCACGATGGCTATGCTGCCCACACACACAGTTGGGGGTGTTTACTTGTACAAGTTGGGGGTTGTTTTTTTTTTTCAAATTGTTTCTTAATGTGATGCCTTAACAGCTGAGATTCTCCCCCACCCTCCCCGCCATAGCAGACCGGAGAGCTGTGAGATTGAAGGGGTTAACCAGTCCCTTCTAATGCCTTCCTCCCCAAACCCTTGCTAATTGGGAGGAGCCTCTCTGTCTACAGGTATGATCTGTAGGCTGCTCTCTGTCCCCCTCCCTTTTGGGAGCCACATGTTCCTTGCTTGGTTCCCTTGCTCTGCCTCTAGGGTAGTAACCTTTCTCGCATCCTTCCCCTGTGATATCACTTTCTGCACATCTAGTACAGGGGATTGACCTGAGTTGCGGTTGACTGCCCAAAGGCCTCCAAGACCTTTGCCTTGCCCTAAGGGAGAGTGCTGGGGCTTGCAAAGACTGGAAATACGTGCGATTGTGTCCAGGTGAGAACCTGGAATACTAGTGTAGCCAGACAATGTCGGCCTCCTTGCTTGTGGTAGACTGGAAACTTCCCTCTATTGCAGGAGGTGTAGCCTGCAGTGTTCCCTTGCTTGTCAGCTCCTTAGCCTCTTACATATGCTTTCATCCTTTCTGGGCCCCTGCTGTCCCTGGCACCTTCTCTTGATAAGAAGGCAGGACCAAGTGTGCAGCGAGGCCATCCTATTCTCTCACACACACACAACACACACGTCTCCTTGGTCTAGTAAGGTAGGAAGCAGACAGGAGATTATGGTCTGGGGTAGTTCATGGAGTGAGGGTTGGAGCCAGAACCTTCTGGCAGCTCCCCAGCACTTCTCCCTTCAGAGTTGATGGGTGGGTTGTTCATGACCCTCCAAACTCCTTATCTCTCTGCACCGGTTGCCTCTGAGGAGCAGGGCTTTTCTCGGGGCCCCGCAGAAAGGGGGGGTGGGTTGGTGATGCTTGTGCCAGCCCAGACAGCTGTGGCAAGAATTAGCCCAGAAAGGTAAGGCCAAGGGCAGGGGTGCAACTTGTGGAGTGGTAGAGATGTTTATAGAGGTGCCCTCCATGGGGACAGCAACACTTTCTCCCTTCCCTGGAACACCTTTCTTCTACTAAAGCCTGGATGGAGCAGACTTTCTGGCAGGGAAATACAATTTTAGAAAGTAGGGCAGGGGCCTAATTACAGTCAGCTCCAAAGTCCATTGCAGGCCTCTGTCTTGGTTTTCTGGAATCTTTACATACTCATTAGTTTATTGAAACCAATTGACTACTTTGGTATTAATTTATTACTAATTTATTTCGCAAAGAGGTTGTGTGTTAGGAGGTAACCAGCCTTCTAAAAGTCGGCTCACAGCAAAAGCCTGGAATCTTCCAAAAGTAATAGTTTTCAAATTGTCCTGATCATTTTTGGGTGACTTGAGAAAGCAACTAGCCAACCCTGCTACTCTGTTCTTCACCTTAAAAGATGTACCCCTTGTTTTGATGAGCTTGGGATGTGTCTTGTATTTGACAGGCTTCAAGTTCTAACAGTCTGCCCTGGCCACCCATCCTTCTCAACAGCTGCCTCTTCTGCTTAGCGGGGTTTTGTTTCCAAAGAGGCCTGAATTCATAATCTGTTCATCCCTTTGCTTTTGTGGAATTGGTCTTTACCCCTTTATAGAGTGGGCTGGTCTAGAAACATTCCACTTTGAGAAGAGAAAAATGATCCGTGGTGTATGTGCACTTGCCTGTCTTGGTCAACTCTTCAGTTTGTAGGGGATGGAGTATAATTCACCCAGGGATTACCCAGTGGAATAACTGGATTTGTGTGTGCTAGAGACTGCTTGCTAGAGAGTGCATGCATACATGGCTTTGCCCCTTTAGTGGCAATCACCACGGGCTTAGAGACCCTATACTGTCTTTTGGTAGATCTTATAGTTGCAATTGTCCATGGAGGAATTTTATTTCCATGAGGCAATTCAGATTACTCAAGAGGCCTTAAGATCAAGGATCCAGAGTCTGGGGTAGACTGTGTTGTGTTGAAGCTGGATGTGTGTGGTTATTCCCTCTCCCAGTCTGGGTTTTTTTTTTTTTCCTTTGGTTTTTCGAGACAGGGTTTCTCTGTGGTTTTGGAGCCTGTCCTGGAACTCGCTCTTGTAGACCAGGCTGGTCTCGAACTCACAGAGATCCGCCTGCCTCTGCCTCCCAAGTGCTGGGATTAAAGGCGTGCGCCACCAACGCCCGGCCCAGTCTGGGTTTTTGTTTGTTTGGGTTTTTGTTTGTTTGTTTTTTGCCTCAGTGGATGTTGGATGTCATCAACTCCCCACCCCTCCCCCGGGGCTGGGGTGTGGAACAGAGCCTTAAGCAAGTGCTGTGCCACTGAGCCACATCTACAGTCCTACCATAGACTCTTGAGGTTTGGGGGGGGATCTAAATCTAAAGGGACTTCGTACATGTAAGGAAACTGGAGCCCAAGAGGGGGAAATGACAAGTCCAGGGGCACTGCACTAGCTAGTGGTAGAAGTGAACCTTTATGAGGACTGCTGTACTACTTGTTTCTTTGTGTGTATGTATGTTGTTCAGGACAGGGTTTCTCTGTGTAACTAACTGCTCTAGTTGTACTAGAACTTGATCTGTAGACCAGACTGTCTTTGTACTCACAGAGATCCAGCTGCCTCTGCCTCCTGAGTGCTGGAATTGAAGGCTTGTGTCACCACTTGAAACCACCATTTTAGAAACATCCTTTTTCCTTTTCCCTGTACCTAAATTTCACTAAGTTAGATGGGAATCATTTTTGTTCCCCCATCTATTTCAGGCCCTCCTTACTTTTTAGCTGGCTCACTTCCTTATTGGCCTGTTAGTTTTGTTGATTAGGAAATAGCCTGTTTACTTTTCAAAGCTCTGGCTTAAATGTTTTTTACCCAGAGAAACCTTTAGTTATGTCCTTCATCATTCTTCCTCTGCTCCCAAGGGTTGGGCATGGTCCCAAGCTCTTCCTGGGTTTCTTCCCATCACTGGAGGGATGCACAGCCTACCTACTGGATGGGAAATAGGAGGCTGGGGCTCCTCTGTGCCTTCCAGCATGGGGCCTGCCATTGAAGTGATTGTTTTGGTGTAACCAGGTAAACTGAAAGGAAGATATTTCCTTGAACACCAATGTGTTCTCTGCTGTATGGGTATCAGTCTAGGTGGTGATAGGGAAGCAGAAGTTATAAATGGAGTAGGGCTGAAGAAAGGGAAGGTAAAAGTATCTTAGTCAGGAGTATGCAAACAGGTGGCCTCCTTTCCTCAAATTTCCCTCTTTGGTGAGGGTTAGGCTTGAGGGCCAGGGGCATGCTAGGGCATATCAAGAATGAGGGACCCAGGGATTAAGTTACATGATACCCCACTGTGTGTTTGAGGGTAAAAGGAGAGCAGCTGTTGTATTTGTAAGATGGAGAGAAGAATTCACATACTTGAACACTAAAACCGGGATTCATAGAAGAGATGAGAGGTGGTGTTAATCTTCATACCAGGAACTTTACTCCCTGACAAACTACTGATGGAGGTTAGGAATGGCTTCTGCCTTGCCAGAAGAAATATTATAGAACCAGATTAGTACCTCTTAGGTCTCATAGGAGAAACTGGTGATCTCGGAGGCCAGGGACATCTTAGCTAACATCTGCCTGACCATCTGGGTCAGTGAATCAGCATGATGGGAAAAGCTGTAGGCCAATCCCATTTGCCATTTATCTTTCACCCAATCCTTGCCTCATGACTCACTACCTGTATGCCTTTAATACAAGGGTTCTTAGCTAAGTGAGGGGCTACCCATACATGAGACAGATGCTGAATCAAGTTCATGTCCCTGTTGGGTTTTACACTGACTTCAATTGAGTTTCCTTTCCTGGGCTCTGGAGTCTTTTGTTTGTGTTTTTGTTTTGAGACAAGGTCTTTTATAGCACAGGCTAACCCAGAACTGATCCTCCTGTTTCCATCTTTGAAGTACTGGGATTACAGGCATGCTCTGGACTCTTATTGACTGAGAGCTGGATTGGGGCTTCCTCAGAGGTTCCTGTTGGCTTTACCTTTGTAACTTGAAGGAAAAACTCCTTCCACAGATTAAGACCACCTCCCCCAACTTGTATAAGGTTGATTTGCCTCAGTACTGAAAACCCCTACATTTCTTGGTTCATGTTTGCACTGGGAATGAGAAAAGAGGTCAAGAACCAGCACTTGGGTGTGTGGGCACATGAATGCATGTACACAAGCGGTTCATTGCTCCAGCAGGAAAATGCCTGAGAGGATGGGGACTAAGCAGCCTATTTCAGTGACTCAGCTAAACTTTTGAGGAGTCCAATAGCTGTGCTGTGTGCACCTAGGAAGATTCTCCTCCCTAAGACAAGGTGCAGTTGTTGCTTATAGAGCCTTTGGAGTTGTGAACATGGGAATTTATAAATGGGGTGAGCGAGGGAGCGTTTCCCAAATGCATCTGAATGGGGGGCACAAAACAAGCATTTCTCCTCTTTTTCTCAGTACGTTGGTCTCCAAATCAAACATCCATTTCTTAATTTCCAGAAGTATACCCACCTCCCTGTGTGGACAGTATGGCCGAGAAGCAGATAAAAAACCTAGACTAGTCCACAAATGTCTGTGTCACCTCCTCCAAAACATAACCTGACTTCCCATTAGCTCCCAGGAGAGGGTCTGGTCTTGACTTTGAAACTCTTCCCCACTGCAGCTTCAACCTCCCTACCCTGGAGTCAGGACTTGAAATCCTTCCTACAGTCCTCTCAGATCTTACCTGACTGACTTGTACATGTGGCAGGTCTGCCTCTGGGCCCCCGTCTGGGAGACTTTGGAGAGAAAGTGGCTTATCCTTTGAATATATGACATGGCAGAAGAACATGCTTGCCTGTAACAATTCTAGAATCCTTTGGCGACTTCCCCACCTCACCCCCAGCTAGAAGTGTGAGGGGCTCCTGAAAGTTTCTATCACAAAAGCTCTGCTGCAGTTGCCACCTCAGGCTTGAGAATATTCTGGTCTTAGGTGGGTGTGATGGGGGTGGCTACTGCCATAAAGCCTATGGACTATCACTTAGGACACAAACCAGTAGAGAAGTCAAAAGCAGAGTTTATGTTTTATGTATATAAGTGCTCTCTACTTGCATGTATGCCTGCATGACAGAAGAGGGCATCAGATCCCATTATAGGTGGTTGTTGGGAATTGAACTCAGTACCTCTGGAAGAACAGCCAGTGCTCTTTTTTTTCTTCTTTTAAGATTTATTTATTTATTTATTATGTATACAGCATCCTGTATGCCAGAAGAGGGCACCAGATGGTTGCTGGGAATCGAACCGATGATCTCTGGAAGAATAGTTAGTGCTCTTAACCTCTGAGCCATCTCTCCAGCCCCCGAAGGCTCTAGCTGTCTTAACTGGTACAGGGAGAGAATCATGGGCTCTGAAGAGGAGGAACATAAGCCCTAGAGGGCATTTGGGGTATAGAAGTTTGTGATGATCATGTGAACAGCAGGGGAGACTACTAGATTCCCAGAGACTGGTGAATTATTTTGCTTGGTGTCTTACTGCCTTCTGAGATGACCTTGATGAGGAGCATGCAGTTGTGCAGTATTTTGAAAAGCTAGGGCTCTGCAGATGGCTTGACTAGAATGACTAAAGATTTGGGGTGATAGTGCTCTTTAAGGGACAGTATGCCAAATTAGCCTCTCCTCTTTTGGCTACATTTGAAGACAAGGAGTTGGAGAGTACAAGATTTAAGGAATAAGAAGAAGAGGGCACAGGGGCTCAGGTTCTAGAAGCTTTTGGATATTTTGACTTCTGTTTCCTTTTTTCTTCAGCAACCAACCAGTGGTTCATCCCAGCTGTGAGAGGGGATATCCCTCCAGGATGTGCAGCCTATGGCTTTGTGTGTGATGGTACTCGCCTACTGGTGTTTGGTGGAATGGTGGAGTATGGAAAATACAGCAATGACCTCTATGAACTCCAGGTAATAACATAGAGCCCCTTTGGACCTGGGTTCCTGCACTGCCCCAGCCCTCACAGGACTCTCCATAGTGTTCCTTATAATGGTGTGAGGGTTACAACAGGAGAGGCAGTGGAAGGGATCAGTTAAGAGTCTACCAAGACTGTTTTCACCTTGAACAGTGTCAGAGGAGAGGAGAGGACCAATTCCTTAGGACTTGCGTGTTCCATCAATATGCTTCCTCATTCCTGACCATATTCTTATGCCACAAATTGCTCTAGGCCCCCTACCAGTGGCCTTTTCATCTCTTTGCTCATTCTGTTAAGTTTTGATTTTGCAGGCTAGTCGCTGGGAATGGAAGAGACTGAAAGCAAAGACGCCCAAAAATGGGCCTCCTCCATGTCCTCGGCTTGGACACAGCTTCTCCCTTGTGGGCAACAAATGCTATCTATTTGGGGGTCTAGCCAATGATAGTGAGGACCCCAAGAACAACATTCCGAGGTGAGATTTTGTCCTTTTTCTGAGAACATCACTAGGGTGTCTACTTACCCCAGGTACAGAGCCATGTTTCTCTCCTTGGCTGGGTTGTCAATGGGAGAATACATTCACTGCCCTTCCAAGAAGTTCCCAGCTTTGAAATCTGAACCCCTGGTGGTCTTGTAGGAGAAAGCTAGGCAAGAAGTAGAAGCCTGCTTTATCTTGACCTGGTCCCTATACCTCAGACCGAAATTAGATCTGGGTGCTTCCTTTGCAGCTTCTGCTGCTTACACATTTCCTGATGGGTATTTTTTAAGTTCTGTGGCAAAAGGCCTTACTATCTGGAGGTAGTTCCAAGCTTGACATCCCCTTGCTCTAGAGAGGCTCAGGTATAATATCTGGCATTGTATGCATCCTGAAGGGACCTGCCACTGAATGTGAACTGAAGCTGCCATCATAGTTTCACACATACCCGTTCCTTGCTCCAACTGTACTCGCCTAGTAAACTCCTGGCAGTCAGTCCTCTCTTTCAAGGGCAAGGGTTCTATGGTCTTTGCTCTTTTTTTCTTCTTTGGTTTTTCAAAACAATTTCTCTGTGTAACAGCTTTGGGTGTCCTGATACTCACTTTGTAGACCAGTCTGGCCTCAAACTCAGCAAAGATCCACCTGCCTCTACTTCCCAAGCGCTGGGATTAAAGGCGTTCACCACCATGCCTGTTCCTGGCCTTTCCTCTTTTATGTTCTAACAAATCTACTGCTCACTGAGATACCCAGTAAAGCCTATGGTGCCTGTGCTCAAGATGTGCTCAAGGCTTGCTATAAAAATGATCTTCCTCAGGTACCTGAATGACTTATATATACTAGAACTACGACCAGGCTCTGGAGTGGTAGCTTGGGACATCCCCATCACTTACGGAGTCCTGCCTCCACCTCGGGAGTCACATACTGCCGTGGTCTACACTGAAAAAGATAACAAGAAATCAAAGCTGGTGATCTATGGAGGGATGAGTGGCTGCAGGCTAGGGGACCTTTGGACTCTGGATATCGGTAAGAAGCTGCTACTGTTTCAGTTGCTTCAGAACAAAGCCAGTTTTCTGGGTAGCTGGCTTTGAGTGACTGATGAGGTGAGGCTCATGGGGAACTAGTGTCCTCCTTCCCCCTTAACCTTGTCAGTGGATAGGAAACAGTAAGCCTCAGTTGATATGGAGAATAGGGAGAGAGTACAATCTTTTTAGAATAGAATTTTCTCAATTTGGGTAGAGTTCTTACTAACTCCTCAGTGAACAGTCTGTATGTGTGGATTGGTGTATTCTGATGTGAGTAGCACAGTAAAATTGGTTATTCATAGACCAATTATATCTTTTACTTTGGCTGTAAAGTGGGTACTGGGTTGGGTGTGGGTAGATCTTGGTTATATTGCCCTTTGGATCAGAACATTTGAACATAAGCAAAACTTGAGTAGCAATGTTTCCTAAAGTGTAGATTGTCTAGTGCTAAGGTGGCACAGGAGTTAATGTGTTCTACAGGGAGTAGAAGTGTAAAGGAGAAGCAGGGATGAACTTGACACCCTTATGTCATCCCTGAGAACAGTACTGCCTTATAGTAGGTGCCCAATACATTTGGGAAGAAACCTTGCCTGGATCATACAACCAGCTTTGGAAATGCTGAAACCTAGCTGTTAGGGCAATAAATTGGAGGGCCCCTGAGGGATTTTTGTTGACAGGAATGCAGTTCTTAAGTTGGTTTAGTGCCCCTTTGGTCCAAGTCCTGGAATTAAATGGTATTTGATCCAACATAGGTAATCTCCTCTCCTTCTCTGCAGAGACACTGACATGGAATAAACCCAGCCTTAGTGGGGTGGCACCCCTTCCTCGAAGCCTTCACTCTGCAACCACCATAGGAAACAAGTGAGTGTTTGCTGTTCTCCTCCCTGGCCTGAGCTGCCCCTGATATCTGAAGGGTTCTCAAGTCAGTTTTGTCAACTGTCCCTCAATCCAAGGAGACTTCTTTTTGTCAGGGCTGTCATTTCAGCTGTCCCATACCCACCTTAATATAACATAGAGAAGGCAAATTTAGAATGGAAAGGACTGCATGTAACTCAACCTGAGACCCTTCCTTGTCCAGTAAGACTGTTGTAGCTCCTCACACAAACAGCATTCATTCTTTGTGAAAGCCAAGGTCTGGAGTTCATGGAGATTCAGGTACACCTTAGATGAGTCAAACAATGTTCTACCATACAAATGACAGTTCTTTGTAGTATTAGTTGAACCATCCAGTAGAAAGTGTCTTATTAAACAGCTTCATGACTCTTGAGGGACTCTTAGGGCCTTCTACAGAACTGAGCATATTCAAAACTTTCTGGTTAGAAGAGGTACCCCCTAGCTTGGTACTTCCTCTTCAGTCCTCTCTTGCTTTTCCTTCACCCTCCCAGAATGTATGTATTTGGTGGCTGGGTGCCTCTTGTCATGGACGATGTCAAAGTGGCCACACACGAGAAGGAGTGGAAGTGTACCAACACGCTGGCTTGTCTCAACCTGGGTATGGCTTCCTCAGGCTTAGAGTGGCCAGGGGTGGGGTGGGGTGGGGGTGGCCCTGGGAGATTTTATGGTGTACAGGAGCAAACCTGGGCTCATGGATCTTTCTAGAATTCACCAGAAGTATTCAGTAAGTAGAGAACTCCTCAGGCAGCGCTCTTTTTAGTTTGAATAGGTTCTTTATATGTGCCTGACATCCACAAGTGCAAAAGCACATATGGTGAAGAGGAGATGCTTCTTGTAACCCTTTGCAGGGATTCTCAATAGCTCTAGGACCTTAGCCTGCCATACACAGGGCCAAATGGCCCTTTCCCTTTCTATATCTTGGAGATCGTTTCATACCCCTGCACAATGAGTATCTCATTCTTTACTATGGTGTATGGCTTTAATCCGAGCACTTAAGAGGCAGAGGCAAGTGGATCTCTTAAGTTCAAGACCAGTGAGGTCTTCATAGTGAAGCCCCCATCTCACAAACAAAAAAAAAATTTGCGTTGCTCTTATTTTGACTGAAGATGTATACATTTTTTTAATATTTACTTATTATGTATACAATATTTTATCTGTGTGTATGCCTGCCAGCCAGAAGAGGACACCAGACCCCATTACAGATGGTTGTGAGCCACCACGTGGTTACTGGGAATTGAACTCAGGACCTTTGGAAGAGCAGGCAATGCTCTTAACCTATGAGCCATCTCTCCAGCCCAGATGTATACATTTTAATAAGATTTTTTATTTGTTTTTTTCATATATTGTATTTCTCTTTCCATATCTCTTTAGGATTGTATTTTATATGCAAGGAGTTAGACCTTGGGTCGTATCTTCCAAATATTTGCCCAATTTATGGCTTAGTTTTCTTTTTTCTTTCTTTCCCCTGAAGATAGGGTTTCTCTATGTAGCCCTGGCTGTTCTGAGACTCCCTCTATAGACCAGACTGGTCTTGCCCACAGAGATCCACCTGCCTCTGCCTCCCAAGTTAATTTTCCACCATAATTTTTATGGTGTTTTTGCTTACTTTTAATTTGATACTCCAGTAACTTTTCTATCACCAACAATGAAAGAATAGAGAACAACTTGGGAGTTAGCAGAGCAGGTGTTTTTTTTTTGTTTGTTTGTTTTGTTGTTGTTTTTGTCTTGTGTAACCTCCAGCACTTGTACATCTAGATACCATGGCCTGGGAAACTATCCTGATGGATACACTGGAAGACAACATTCCTCGAGCTCGAGCTGGTCACTGTGCTGTTGCCATCAATACTCGCTTATACATTTGGAGTGGCCGTGATGGCTACCGCAAGGCCTGGAACAACCAGGTCTGTTGCAAGGACCTGTGGTATTTGGAGACAGGTAAGTGTTGGGCCACTGCCATTCCCATTGCAGAAGCCTTTCCAATCCCTGTCTTAACAGTTGTGTTGTTGTATTACAGAAAAGCCACCACCCCCAGCCCGAGTACAACTAGTACGAGCCAACACCAACTCACTGGAGGTTAGCTGGGGTGCAGTAGCAACAGCCGACAGTTACCTTCTGCAGCTCCAGAAATACGACATTCCTGCCACGGCTGCTACGGCCACCTCCCCCACTCCCAATCCAGTTCCATCTGTGCCTGCCAACCCTCCCAAGAGCCCTGCACCAGCTGCAGCTGCACCTGCTGTACAGCCACTGACCCAAGTCGGCATCACACTTGTGCCCCAGGCTGCCACTGCACCCCCAAGCACTACCACCATCCAAGTCTTGCCAACAGTACCAGGCAGCTCCATTTCTGTGCCCACTGCAGCCAGGACTCAAGGTAAGCCACAAATGCTAAAGGCATTTGGATTAGGGCATAGTCACTGGAGACATTCATTGCTTGAGTAGTGGCTGCTGCTTTGTTCATTGGTGGATTTTAGCTTGAGCCTTGTTGGGGACTAGGGGATAAGAGTGCTCTGTCTTGCTGGCAGGGACTGTGTTGAGGACATAGAAGAGCCACACATAAAGAATAGGCAGGTCAAGGAGTAGCTCAAGCCTACCTTAAACTTGGCAGGATAATGTGTGGAAGAGGACCTCCTGATGATCAACCTTCTTTTCTTTTATCAGGTGTCCCTACTGTTCTCAAAGTGACTGGTCCTCAGGCTACAACAGGAACCCCACTGGTTACCATGAGACCTGCCAGCCAGACTGGAAAAGCCCCTGTCACTGTGACCTCCCTGCCTGCTAGTGTGCGAATGGTTGTGCCCACACAGAGTGCCCAGGGGACGGTGAGGATCTGTTACTGAGTGGGGTTTTCTGGTAACCCAGGAGCATAAACAGTTCTCATGTGATCTTTTTAAATATATATATATTTAACTCCTCTGGAACTGGGGATGTAACTTAGTTGATAAGACTATTTGCCTAGCATACATGAAGCCCACCAACTTCCACATTGTACATCAGATGCCTTTGTTGTTTGTGAGGTACTGCTGCATTGGAAATGCATCAAAGGGGCCTAATGTTCCATGTATTCCTTGGAGCATTTCAGTGTGAACTTCCTGATTTGGAAAGGCCAAGGAGAAAATCTGGTTAGCTGGGTTTGAGCCAGGCCTATAAGAATGAGCTGTATCCAACTCAAGGGTTGTGTTTGTTTTGTTTTGGGTTTTGACAGAGTAATTCTGTAGCCCAAGCTATCTTCTACTTTGGAGAGGTTGTCATGCCTTGGCCTCCTGAGTGTTAAAAGAGTTTTAAGTGTGGGCCAGGCAGTGGTGGCACACACCCTTTAATTCCCGCCCACAGGAGGCAGAGGCAGGCGGATCTCTGTGAGTTCAAGGCCAGCCTGGTCTACAGAGATAGTTCCTTCCAGGAAAGCCTCCAAAGCTACAGCGAAACTCTGTCTCAAAATAACAAAAAAAAAGAGTTGAAAGTGTGAACCATCACACCCAGCAGGGGCATTGATGGTATTGATGGGTGTTGTATATGAAACCCATTACTGCCTGTGTACTAAGCATGCATTCTTTTGCTGAGATGCATCTCCAGTTCTGGCTTTGGTCTTTTCCTTTCTTTATCTCTGCAGTACTGAGAACAGAACCCAGGTACAGGAGTATTTCAGAGACTGACTATACTCTCAGCTTTTACTTTTGATTCAGGGTCTCACTAAGCTGTGATCTTTCTGCTTCAGCCTCCTGAGTCGCTAGGACTAAAAGTGTATGCCCCAGGGCTACCTTGACTATGTTGTTTGATTAAAAAAATCTCTGAGCTGGGTGGTGGTGGCGCACCCCTTTGATCCCAGCCCTTGGGAGGCAGAGACGGGTGGATTGAGTTCGAGGTCAGCGTGTTCCATAGAACAAGTACCAGGACAAGCTCCAAAGCTACAGAGAAACTATCTCATAAAACATAAATAAAATAAAAATCTTCTCTGGAGTTATAGGGTATAGCTCAGTTGGTGGAGTGCTTGCCTAACATGCATTAAGATCTAGATTCAGTTCCAAACACTGCATAAACCAAGTATGTGGTATTACATATCAGTAATCCCAACATTTGAGAGGTCAGAAATTGAAGGTCATCTTCATGAGTTTGAGGCCAGCCTAAGCTGCATGAGATACTTTCTGGAAAAAAAAGAAAAAGAAAGAAAAATTAGGCACTTAGCAAGCACCTACCTGCTTGTTACTTTCACTAAGAGAGGATCCAGCATTAGGAAAAACTAAGGGATGCTACTGAGCTCCCTGTCAAGCTCTGAAAGGGCCATGGAGTTGGGAGGCAGGAGGCCGATAGAACCCTTGCAGCTCACATGCTTTGTGCCTACCACAGGTGATTGGCAGCAACCCACAGATGAGTGGGATGGCTGCATTGGCTGCTGCTGCCGCTGCCACACAGAAAATCCCTCCTTCCTCAGCACCCACAGTGCTGAGTGTCCCAGCAGGCACCACCATTGTCAAGACAGTGGCTGTGACACCTGGCACAACCACTCTTCCAGCCACTGTGAAGGTGGCCTCCTCCCCTGTCATGGTGAGCATTTATCTTCTGGGCCTGGTTCTGAGCCTGTAACCCTGGGGCTTGGTGACATCTGGTCACTATGATCAAACAAGCAGTGGCAATTTGTTCCAGGCTTTGGACCAACCCTTCAGGCCATTGGTTTATAATTGGTACTAGCATGGGCTATGGAACATGCAGTTACTTTAATCGTGTGCAGCCTTAGGTTAGACCTGTGGGGAGTTCAGACTACTTTTTTGTTGCTCAGCCAACCAAGCTATGTGGACAGATCATCAGAGCTATAACCATTATATTACCACTATTCTCTTTTATTCCCTTTTTCTTTCTTTTTTTTCATTTTTCTTTTTGTTTTTTTGTTTTGTTTTACCACTATTCTCATCACTCATCTCTGCTTCTCCAGGTGAGCAATCCAGCCACTCGTATGCTAAAGACTGCAGCTGCCCAAGTGGGGACATCTGTGTCCTCTGCTGCCAACACATCTACCCGCCCTATCATCACGGTACACAAATCAGGCACTGTGACGGTGGCCCAGCAAGCCCAGGTGGTGACCACAGTGGTAGGCGGAGTCACCAAGACCATCACCCTAGTGAAGAGCCCCATCTCTGTCCAAGGAGGCAGTGCTCTGGTGAGTGACAGGCACCATCTGGCTGCATGTGACAGCTGCCAGGCTATGGTGAATGCCACTGGTGACTCGCTGTCTTGGGCTAACTCCAGTATAGTCCTAGACCAGGCCATGCCCTTGTTTGGTTCCGGATCACTGCCTGCTCCATTCTTTCCTTTTTAGATTTCCAATCTGGGAAAAGTGATGTCAGTGGTCCAGACCAAACCAGTTCAGACTTCAGCAGTCACAGGTCAAGCCTCTACAGGCCCTGTGACTCAGATCATCCAGGTAGGTCTCACTATCCCCCCCCCCCCCCAGAAGTCATCCCTAAACGCTAGGACTACAGGGATGAATGAGCACTGGGAGATAAGGACAGAAGGTTCCATGAGCACAAGTGGCACAGAGACTTGCTGATATCATAGCACCCACAGTATTCCGAATATTCTCTGAGTTAGAATACCTTTCTGGCAGTAGCTCCTGTTCATTTGCAGCTTTTTCCTTTCAGACCAAAGGGCCTCTGCCAGCAGGGACTATCCTGAAGCTGGTGACATCAGCAGATGGCAAGCCCACAACCATCATTACCACCACGCAGGCTAGTGGAGCAGGGACCAAGCCTACCATCCTGGGCATCAGTAGTGTCTCTCCCAGCACCACCAAACCTGGCACTACTACTATCATCAAGACCATTCCCATGTCAGCCATTATCACCCAGGCAGGCGCCACAGGTAAACATACAACTTTCACTGGCCCTTGCTGGTGAGTGTAAATCAGGAAGATGGGAAGCTTCCACAGAGCTTATTTTCTCTGGATTATCCCCCAATGCAGGTGTTACCAGCAGTCCTGGCATTAAGTCCCCTATCACAATTATCACCACCAAGGTAATGACTTCTGGAACAGGAGCACCTGCGAAAATCATAACTGCTGTCCCCAAGATTGCTACTGGTCATGGACAGCAAGGAGTGACCCAGGTGAGGCACACGTGACCCCTATTCACCTCAGTCTAGTGCAGACCACATATGTCTTCATAACAGGCCTGAGAAGGGCAGCATAGTCCAGCCAAGCCTGAAAGTTACATTGGTGGTACTTTGCTCTGGTGTTCCAGGTGGTGCTAAAGGGGGCCCCTGGACAGCCAGGCACCATCCTCCGCACTGTGCCCATGGGCGGCGTTCGCCTGGTCACCCCTGTCACCGTCTCCGCTGTCAAGCCAGCTGTCACAACATTGGTTGTAAAGGGCACCACAGGTGTGTAGCCCACAGGCCAGGTCCTTGGCAGTAACTGGGCTTTCCCCCAAGTCTTCCTATGTATATAACCTCTAGTCTGGCTGGGGGAGGATGACAGGTGCTTTCTCCAGAGACATGCTGCTAGATAGAAAGTAGTAGCAATAAGCCTCATTCTACCTCTGCCTTTTCCTCCTGTTAGGTGTCACAACCCTAGGCACAGTGACAGGCACTGTCTCTACCAGCCTTGCAGGAGCTGGGGCCCATAGCACCAGTGCCTCTCTGGCCACACCTATTACCACCCTGGGCACCATTGCCACTCTTTCAAGCCAGGTCATCAACCCTACTGCCATCACAGTATCAGCTGCACAGACCACATTGACAGCTGCTGGTGGCCTTACCACACCCACAATCACAATGCAGGTAAGTAAGTTCCAAGAATGTACCACCATATAACGGCATTCCCACATGAAAGTAGGGGGCATTTTGACCATTCTCCCTTTTCCAGATGCTGTTCTGTAGCTCTGTGCAGCTCTGGCAGTTTTTACACACATGGTGTGATCTCTGTCTCAGTCTTTCCCAATGACATTTTATTTGAGCTAGGTTCGGTTTGCAGACAATAGGATCTTATAATGTATTATATATGCATATTCTATTTGTCCTTTTGACATGTTTTTTCTCTCAAACTGGATAAGAAGTGGTAAGGGATCTATTGTTAGACTTTGTACCAGCAAACTGGTCAATCCCCTCTCCTGCCCCAGCTCTGCCTCATAGCCCCTCCATCTTGGTCTCTCAGTAAGTCGTTCTGAGATCATGGGGCAAGTGAGTCTTAGATTTGCCTGGGCTAGTTAGTAGAGTTGGTGGTCCCAGCCAGCATTGACAATAGGATAGAAGGAGAGGCAAATGAGAAATCACATTGTTCAGGCACTAACACCTCTGTTCTACTATGTCCCCCAGCCTGTCTCCCAGCCTACCCAGGTGACTCTGATCACAGCACCCAGTGGGGTTGAGACCCAGCCTGTACATGACCTTCCTGTGTCCATTTTGGCCTCACCTACTACAGAGCAACCCACGGCAACAGTCACCATCGCTGACTCGGGCCAGGGTGATGTACAGCCTGGCACTGTAACACTGGTGTGCTCCAACCCACCCTGTGAAACCCATGAAACAGGCACCACCAACACAGCCACTACCACTGTTGTGGCTAACCTTGGGGGACATCCCCAGCCCACCCAGGTACAATTTGTTTGTGACAGACAGGAGGCAGCTGCTTCTCTTGTGACCTCAGCTGTGGGACAACAGAATGGTAATGTGGTCCGTGTCTGTTCAAACCCCCCCTGTGAGACCCATGAAACAGGTACCACCAACACTGCCACAACAGCCACCTCCAACATGGCTGGGCAGCATGGCTGCTCAAACCCCCCCTGCGAGACTCATGAGACAGGCACCACCAGCACTGCCACTACAGCAATGTCCAGCATGGGTACTGGGCAGCAGCGAGACACTCGTCGTGCCTCTAGCACCCCTACTGTAGTGCGGATCACTGTGGCTCCTGGGGCGTTGGAGAGAGCCCAGGGTACTGTGAAGCCTCAGTGCCAAACACAGCAGACCAATATGACCAGCACCACCATGACTGTGCAGGCCACCGGAGCTCCGTGCCCAGCTAGCCCACTGCTTAGGCCAAGTGTGGCACTGGAGGCTGGGAGCCACAGCCCTGCCTTTGTGCAGCTAGCCCTTCCAAATGTTAGAATTGGGCTGAGTGGCCCCAGCAGCAAGGACATGCCCACAGGGCACCAGCTAGAAACATATCAGACTTATACAACCAGTACCCCAACCACAGCCCTCTCTATCATGGGTACTGGGGAGCTTGGTGCAGCTCAGGTGGCCCCCACATCTATATACGAGAGCCTCCAGGCAAACTCTCCCAGCAGCACCATGACTATGACAGCCCTAGAGGCATTGCTGTGCCCTTCAGCTACCGTGACCCAAGTCTGCTCCAACCCACCGTGTGAAACCCATGAGACGGGTACCACCAACACTGCCACTACCTCCAATGCGGGCAGTGCCCAGCGGGTATGCTCCAACCCACCTTGTGAGACTCATGAGACGGGAACCACACATACAGCCACCACTGCCACATCCAATGGAGGTGCAGGCCAGCCTGAAGGTGGACAACAGCCTGCCAGTGGCCATCCCTGTGAAACACACCAGACGACTTCCACTGGCACCACTATGTCAGTCAGTGTGGGTGCCCTGCTTCCTGATGCCACTTCCTCTCGTGGAACCCTGGAATCTGGCTTAGAGGTGGTAGCAGTGCCCACCGTCACCTCTCCGGCTGGTGCCACATTGCTGGCTTCTTTCCCAACACAGAGGGTATGCTCCAACCCTCCTTGCGAGACCCATGAGACAGGCACCACACACACAGCCACCACTGTCACCTCTAACATGAGCTCAAACCAAGGTGAGTAAAAGTATTGCTATAGTATGGTACTGATATTCTGGCTGTATTAGCTATAGTGGAGGGGGCAGGTTCTAGGAAACGTGGTGGTAAAAGTAAATAGAGGTCAACTGGTGTCACACACACACCCTCCCCCCCCCATTGAAACCCACAGATCCTCCACCAGCTGCCAGTGATCAGGGAGAGGTGGTGAACACTCAAGGTGACAGTGCAAACATCACCAGCGCCAGTGGCATCACAACAACTGTGTCCTCCACACTGCCACGAGCAGTGACCACTGTGACACAGTCTACACCGGTCCCAGGTCCCTCTGTGCCGGTAAGCTTCCCAGGGCATCTCTTCCCTGTCCTTTTGCCCACTATGCCTTTTATTTGTGCTATTCCAGAATGGACACCAGGTGTCGCCCTTGTATCAGACATGGTATTGCTCCTTGGTTCTTCCAGACCATAAAAGGGCAGTCTTGGTGCCTGGGTACTTTATCTCTGCTGCTGGTTTCCATCTTGGGCTGTTTTCCATCATTTGTCTTTACAGTGAAGCCTCTCTTGGCATAAGTTGAAACGATACCCTTCATGCTGCTCCTTGACTCACCTTTCCCATCTCCATTTAGCATGTAGCCTGTTGTGGATGATACAGGAAAAAACAAAGGCCATCTTGTTTTTCATTCCCACTGCCTAGTACTAGCCTCCGTCTCCTCCCCTCTTCCTCTGACGGGGGCTTCTCTCCCTTTCTAGAACATCTCATCACTGACTGAGACTACCCCAGGGGCTCTGACTTCCGAAGTCCCCATTCCAGCCACGATAACAGTGACCATAGCCAACACAGAAACTTCTGACATGCCCTTCTCTGCTGTTGACATCCTGCAGCCCCCAGAGGAACTCCAGGTCTCACCAGGGCCTCACCAGCAGCTGCCACCACGGCAACTCCTGCAGTCTGCCTCCACCCCCCTGATGGGGGAGTCCGCGGAGGTCCTGTCAGCCTCCCAGACCCCTGAGCTCCAGGCCGCCGTGGATCTGAGCAGCACTGGGGACCCATCTTCAGGCCAGGAGCCTGCCAGCTCTGCTGTCGTGGCCACTGTGGTGGTCCAGCCACCCCCACCCACACAGTCTGAAGTAGACCAGTTATCACTTCCCCAAGAGCTGATGGCTGAGGCCCAGGCGGGCACCACCACCCTTATGGTAACAGGGCTCACCCCAGAGGAGCTGGCTGTGACTGCTGCTGCAGAAGCAGCTGCCCAAGCTGCAGCCACTGAAGAAGCTCAAGCCTTGGCCATCCAGGCCGTGCTCCAGGCTGCACAGCAGGCTGTCATGGGTAAGTATCCGCTGAGAGCTTTGAGAGGTAGTTCCCTTGGGATGAGTGACCACCTAACAGGGAGGGCTAAGGTGCCATGTGGGGACAGCTTGAGATGAGAAGACCTGCTTCTTGTGAGAGTACATAGTGTACTTCGAGGAAGGCCTATGTAGGATAGGTAGTCCTAGAAAGGAGACCCAGGGCCCAGAGGTGAGGGTGTAGTAGGATGTGAGCGGGTTGAAAGCTGTGGAAAACAAAATCTCAGGAGCACTATCACTGTCCATTGGGCCAGGCACACTTTTTGCCAGTATTCTTTTTGAATAGTAGTTTTTTTGGTCCTGGAGCAGGCACTGGGGAGCCCATGGATACATCTGAAGCAGCAGCAGCAGTGACACAAGCAGAGCTGGGCCACCTTTCAGCTGAGGCACAAGAGGGTCAGGCCACCACCATACCCATTGTGCTGACACAGCAGGAGCTTGCAGCCCTGGTGCAGCAGCAGCAGCAGCTCCAGGAGGCTCAAGCCCAGCAGCAGCAACACCTCCCTACTGAGGCTCTGGCTCCAGCTGACAGTCTCAATGACCCATCCATCGAGAGCAACTGCCTCAATGAGCTAGCCAGTGCTGTCCCTAGCACTGTGGCCTTGCTACCCTCAACAGCCACTGACAGTAAGCTGGGCTGCTTTTTGGCAGGGGTAAATTGTTGATAGAGTTGGACTGGTGGGAGGTGGACATTGTGGTCAGGGTGGCATGGGGGTTCCAAGAGGTTCTGGCTCAACACAGAACCTTCTCCCCACTGATACTTTGTTTCTTCCCAGGCCTTGCTCCATCCAACACATTTGTGGCTCCACAGCCTGTTGTTGTAGCCAGCCCAGCGAAGGTGCAGACTGCGGCTACCCTAACTGAAGTAGCCAATGGCATCGAGTCCCTGGGTGTGGTGAGTTCGATGCAATGGGCCCCAGGGGATAAGAGCAGCACTGCCTTTGGGCCCCATGTACTTGATGTCACTCATTTCTGTTCTCTAGAAACCAGACTTGCCACCTCCACCCAGCAAAGCCCCTGTGAAAAAGGAGAACCAGTGGTTTGATGTGGGGGTCATTAAGGGTACCAGTGTAATGGTAACACACTATTTCCTGCCACCAGATGATGCTGTTCAGTCAGATGTAAGTATACCCAGTAGTTGGCACTTTTGGGTGGTAGGTGGATCCTGCTTTGCCTGTGAGGCAACTATCAATAGAAACAAACTTAGCTTTACAACTTTGCAAGAGTGTTCACAGGAGAATTCCACCTTCATACCACTTGAACAATTAAGAAATGGTAGGGCAGCCAGATGGAGACCTTCTCCCCAGAGAGTAAGAAAGCAAAAGACTCTTTCCTCACAGCACCAAGTTAACCTCACCATATCCCTAGGCCTTGCTATAAAAGGGCAACCATCCCTGAACAGAAGTCTTGGTCCAATGGTCCCCTGTGATGTTGGCCATTCTGAACAAGTACTTCAGAAACTAGGGGGCAGTTTCTCTAGCATTCTTTTTGACTTCAGGCCTTGTGCCATTTTCTTCTCTCCTGGTTTTCCACCTCTTGCTCTAGGATGACTCAGGCACAGTCCCAGACTATAACCAGCTGAAGAAGCAGGAGCTACAGCCAGGCACTGCCTATAAATTTCGTGTTGCCGGAATCAATGCTTGTGGCCGGGGGCCCTTTAGTGAGATCTCAGCCTTTAAGACCTGTCTGCCTGGTTTCCCAGGGGCTCCTTGTGCCATTAAAATCAGCAAGGTGAGTCTTTCTAGGGCTGCCTTTCTGTTCCTTATTGGTCTACTGTCTCTGCCCTAAGGAGGTACAAATAAACAGAGCCGGGGGTGGCTGGACCAGAAGTATACCAGATAAGGGCAAGGTAGCCACAGAGATTATGTGCTAGGCTCTTCTGATAAATCTTTTTGCCTAATCCTGAAAATCCCAAGGAGGTCTGAGTCTTGTTACTCTGATTCTCAAATGCAGAAACTGAGGTACTAAGAAGCTAAGTTATGGATTAGGGAATGGGTTGGGGGTGTTAGTGTTAAAGAGGCTCTTTAAAACCCTTTAAAATTTGATGTGGAATATATTGGTTGTTTTGGTTAATTTTGTATTACATTTTTGTGGGTGGGGGTGTGTATATGTGGGCATAGGTGTGCCACAGTGCTCATGTGAAGGTCAGAGGAGGTCATGTGGGTCACGGAGATCGAACTCAGTCATCAGGCTTGGCAGCAGGTGCCTTTACCATACCGCTGAACCATCTCACTGGCCCCTGGAATATCTGTTGTGTTGGGGGAGGTTGTTTATGGGGGTTACTAACAGTTCTAGAAACTTCTAGCCCTCTTGCTTTGGGCATAGACAGGGTGGGCTGAAGCCACAGTGGCTGAAGAAGACAAGGCTTGACTTTATGTCCTGGGTTCTAGAGCCCAGATGGTGCTCACCTCACCTGGGAACCACCGTCTGTGACCTCCGGCAAGATCATCGAGTACTCTGTGTACCTGGCCATCCAGAGCTCACAGGCTGGTGGTGAGCCCAAGAGCTCCACCCCAGCCCAGCTAGCCTTCATGCGAGTGTACTGTGGGCCTAGCCCTTCCTGCCTTGTGCAGTCCTCCAGCCTCTCCAATGCCCACATTGACTACACCACCAAGCCTGCCATCATCTTCCGCATTGCTGCCCGCAATGAAAAGGGCTACGGCCCCGCTACACAAGTGAGGTGGTTGCAAGGTAAGTATTTATAAACCTCTTGGCAATTTCTAGGGGAGGCATAGGAGACCAGAGATAACTAGCTAGACTAAGGAGGCTTCACATTGGGATATAAGGGTGTATAGGTACTACAAAGGAGCCTCTCATGCTCTGGGGGTACACAGAAGATACCCTTGGGTGTCGAAAGATGAGAGGACTAGAAGAAAGCAAAAGCTGTTAGGCCCTTTAAATGGGTAGCCTAGGCTGAGGCCAGCTTCTAGGAGGCATCTGTCTCAAGAGGGGCATTGAAGACAGGAGCTGAGCCAGAAGGATTTCTGGCTCCTGTCCTACAAAGATCAGGGACCTGAAGGATGACATGGGCAATCGGGACCATGACAAGTAGGGTACACCCAAGTATTCCCTGCCTTTTGGTGGGCTGCTTACCATCTATCCCATTCCTTTCAGAAACCAGTAAAGACAGCTCGGGCACGAAGCCGGCCAGCAAGCGACCCATGTCGTCTCCAGAAATGTAAGTAGCCAGTCTCTTTCTAGACTCTTCTGTAGGAGGTACTTAGAGTGGAAATAGGCTTCAGCTGCTTGGGACTATATTCACATAGGGTCCTGAATCAGTGTTTTTGCAATGTTCTTGGGACTCTCTATAACTGTTCTTCCTCTTTTTTACATAAAGGAAATCTGCTCCAAAGAAGTCTAAGGCTGATGGTCAGTGAGGAAGCTGGCCAGCATCTGAATCCTCCAGACCCTTCTGCTTCAGGAACGCCCTATAGGGCTCACCCTCCCACCCAGCCTTTGCACTTCACCCTCACCAACCACTGGCTACCATTCAGTCTCCCCACTTCCCTCTGTTTTTACAATAAAGAAAGCACATTTTACCATTGCTGTTGGGAGGAAAGCAGAAGACAGATCGGAAAGAGTGGCAAGTAAGCAAATGAGTGCAAGTTGTGCTCCTTCCTTTTCCTGGTGACCTCCATGAGTTGTGACTGGACAATTCAGAGACTTTGGGAAGAGAGATTAAAACTGAAAACAAAGGAGATAGCACCCACACTTAAGCCTGCACTTGTTTGTAGTTAATCACCCTTGGCCTGAGAGACAGCCAAGGGCTAGAGGGGGAAGTGGTGTCCCCCAAGTTCCCTCAGAGGCTTTTCCCAGCAGGTGCCCCATTCTGGGTATCTGTCTGGTTCTAGTTTGTTTTGTTACTACCCTTTTATTTTCAGCCACCTCCCAGCCCTTCTTCAGGCTTAGTCAGATCTGTTTCATCCAGCAAACCTATCAGAAGCTTAACACATCTCAGAGGCCTTTGTGCTACCACTTAACACCTCTCCCTTCCTCTTTACAAAACAGATGAGGGAAAAGGAGCCTTGGGTGGTCTGAGCAGTGGCTGTGAAATCCTCCCATTGGGCACAGAGTGGACCCCAGTGACCCTGGCTTTGGCCCACCTTGTTTGAGCCTGGGGGCCCTATCACCAACTGCTGCGTTTGTTGTACTTTTTAAGTTGAAATTAATGAAGTTAACATTTTTATTGTAATTTTAGCCTTAGCGTGTGGGGGTTTATCCCTTTTTGTTAGCTCTGTACAGAATGTGTATCGTATTTTTTTTCTCCGCCCCCCCCCCCCGGGCTAATCATTGGCAGGGATCTTTCTAGGGAAAAGCTGAGAGAGCAGCTAGGGCAGGAGAGAAGCAGTGTCCTGGGTAGGACCTGGTAGACATTGCCTCCTCAACTAATTTCCTGTTGCTAGCCCCTGCCTGCTTTTGGAACAGTGTGAGACATTAACCTTTATTTCCTGTGGGTTAGCACTTAATATGTAGAGGCTTGAGCTTGAAGGTGGGGTTCGCCTTCATCAGCATCATTTGCAAAGATTGGCCCTGAACAACACAGCAGGAGCAGGGGAGAGGTGGGTCCTTGCCATCTTGAAGGCAGCCCAGGAAGGGGGTGAGGTATGCCATATATCCCATGGAGGCTGGGGGTAGGTACATAACACAAACTCAGTAATTAATTTCGTAGCATTGTCCCCATGCTCTGGATTTTTCTCTCCAGGACCCCAGCTTTAGGCGGTGAGTAATGCTTGCAAGCAAGTTACTGAAGGATTTAAAAATGGACAGCCAATGTGTTCGGCCACTCAGGCCCATACCTGGGGCCTCTAGTGTATTGTATCATATTTCTCTGTGGAAAACGTCATGTTTAGTCAAGTTGGAGCCCACTCGCCTGGTCCGTTTGTTCTCCCTATCCCTTTTCCCAAGCACCCTTTGATTTCTCTTCTGAGAACAGTACTACCCGTTCATCTATTGTAGAGTAACCCGTGACTCAATATTACCATAGTGCGATGTTGTTTTGTGCTATTTTGAACAATTAAAAGACTTTTTTTGAAATAACCATCTGTGTCAAGAGTGTCTTGCGACCTTTGGAAAAGGGAAGCTGGGACCTACCCAAGGTTCACTTGAACAGGGAATCTTTTATTACCAGGAACCATAGGTGAGTGACTCTCGATTGCCCTTCTAAGAAGGCTCCAGAGCAAGGTATGCCACTGGGGCCTCTAGAGCCATGCTACCTTAGAGGCCCAAGGCTGAGGGGCCTCTTGAGTGCTTGCTGCTGATTCTGCATTTGCAAGCCAGGTCACCTATTCTCCCACTAAGGGGCAGACCAAGATCAAGGCCTGGCTGGCCATTTGGCAGACATGTGAGTAAACTACAGCCTCTATAGTTCCAACATAAGCTCAGGAGACTCCAGGATGGCAGCTGTAGCAGAACAGGTATGTCTGACAAAGGATGGATACTCAATGTAGGACCAAATCCTCTAACTTTGTGCACAGGCCAAGTATCCAAAGAGGTCAAGGCAGAATTATTGGCCCTGGCAGTCCAGCAGCCAGTTGGGTGGTACAGCTATGACATGATTGAATAGTGCTATCTGGGCAGAAAGCTAAGAAAGCCTGGAGATAAGGTGGTCCTGGCCTATAGCTAGAGCTCAGTGTTGACAGCTCTAGGTGCCAGCAGGCTGAGAGTAGTAAGCATACCACCTTCATGCATCTCCACATCCCTGGTGCTTGAGCTAGAGAAAGAAGGGGTGTGGGGACATGTTTGATCAGCACCTCACTTCTTTCTGACATCCCTGCTGCTACTCCCTTTTAGGCTTATTTTTTTTTAAGACGGTCTCACTGCATTCCTGGCACTCACTATGTAGACTAGGCAGGCCTCAAACTCAGAAATCTGCCTCTGCTTCCCAAGTGCTAGATTATAGACTCTGTCATACCCAACTTTTTTTTAAATTATTTTTAATTATGTGTGGGTAGGTGGGTGGATAAGTATGTGTAGGTTCCCTCAGCTACCAAAGACATGGTCCTCTGGAGCCAGGGTTACAAGCAGCTGTGAGCTGATCAACTTGAGTGTTGGGAATTGAACTTGGGTCCTATGTAAGAGCAATATACATTCTTAACCACTAGGCTATCTTGCCAGGACTACATAGTGAAACCCTGTCTTAGAAAACAAAAACAAATACTTAGCTTGAAGCTGGGTGTGATGCAACACACCTTTAATCCCAGTTCTTGAGAGGTAGAGACAAAAGGGTCAGGAGTTCAAGACCATCCTTGGCAAATAGAATTCAAGGCTAGGCTGGAATAAGTGAGACTTGCAAGCAAACTGAGCTTGAAGGCAGAAAGAGGCATCACAGTCTTGCCTCACCCTGCTTCTATGAGATCCAGGGCCAAACCACCTTTAGCATTATACTAAGGCTTGGCCTTGATTGATCTTGAGGAGGATGGTGTGTGTAAGGGAGGCAGAGGAGAGGATGGACTTGGATAAAAATAGTTTAAATAAGCCTGGCGGTGGTGGCACACGCCTTTAATCCCAGCACTCGGGAGGCAGAGGCAGGTGGATCTCTGTGAGTTCGAGGCCAGCCTGGTCTACAAGAGCTAGTTCCAGGACAGGAACCAAAAGCTACGGAGAAACCCTGTCTCGAAAAATCAAAAAAAAAAAAAGTTTAAATAATGGCACACAAGCTTCCTAGCTACACAGATCCAGGGTCCCCTGGGTATAAGCTGAGAGTAGATAATGCACACAGCAGCTGCAGTAGACACTTAACAGATGGGAACAAGGCTTACTCCAAGCACTACAAAGGTGAAGTGTTTCAGGCTAAAGCCACTCCAACCTGCAGAACTAGCCAGCAGTCATAGTCTTTATGAAATCAAAGGTCTGCACACAACTGGGGTGTGGGTGGCACAGGAACATAATCATATCCAGGGATTGGATTCTTTTTTACTAACCAACTCCTAGAGCAACATTGATGAGGCAGCAGGTCTAGTTACTTTACACTCTTGGATTGCTGTCCATCCTTAAGGGCATGTTCTAGAAACTGGAGTGATGACTTAGCAGTTAAGTACACTGACGTTTCCAGAGGGCCCAGGATCAGTTCCCAGCGCCTACATGAAAACTCACAACCAACTGTAACTCTAGCCCCAGAGGATCCCTCTTCTGGCTTCTGAGGATATTAAGAGCATGTGGTGCACAGACACACATAGAGGCAATAATAATAAGATTCAGAACATGTTCAAGCTCCCCAACTACCTCAGGCTTTCTGACTGAAACTCTTCCTTCACAGAATTCTGCTGATCAATGAGGTTGCCCAATGGGTAACAAGAATGGGTGGAGGGGCTGGAGGGATGGCTCATTTGTAATGAGGTCTGGTGCCCTCTTCTGGCATAGAGGTGTACATGCAGGAGGACTATTGTATACATAATAAATAAATCTAAAAAAAAATGCGTGGAACAGATCAAACAGCCTGTCTCAGAGCCAACATATAGTAGTAGAAGGTCCGGAGATCTGGAAGGTTCCCACTCTGCTCTGCATGATTACCCACTGTTTTCTCAGAAGCATCTTTTGGGATGAAGAATCCAGGAACTGACCAATCAGGGCCAATGATTGTAAACTACTGGATACTGACAGCTGAAGCAGCTAAAGGACCAAATTGGCAGATATGACTTGCCCACTATATGGGGGTCATAGGGTCTCAGGATTCAGGCATTTCCAGGAGAACCCCAACCCCACACATCTGTTGGGATCACCAGCCTCAGTTGCCAGGCCCAAGTCGTTCCCCTCCCTACTCTCTCCCAATGGGACAAGACTCCTCATCCAGTTCCCACCAGGGTGATCTAGATCAAGGGTGCTCAGCCCGAGCCTAGATGGGCAGGGGGTGGGGAAACCCCGCCCACTGTCCCGCCCCTACCTCTGGGCCCTTTGAACCGAGAGGAGGATCAGGTGGGTGGGGCACTGCTCGGTCAGCTGAGTGATTGTCACGGGATTGCAACCAACTCCCGTTTCCTGGAGGAAAGCGAATACACGGACCGAGCGTTAGGAGTCAGAGGTATCCTTGGCGGGAGAGGTGCTGTTCTGGAAGGTCCCAGGCAACGGTGGGGTCAGAAGCCCATCGCAGAGGCTCAAGGACCTAAGAGGGGTGGGGTGCGAGCAAACAGCTCTGGGGCCCACTTAAGCTGTTTCAGGAAGTCGCTGTAAAGAACTCTGTCTCCATGCCCTGACCTGAATCACTTCACAGGACATGGAGAAGGAACGGGAGGCACTGCAGGTCTGGAAGGAACGAGTGGGACAGGAGCTCGACACTGTGGTCGCTTTCTGGCTACAGCACTCCCATGACGAGGAACACGGGTTAGCTACCCCTCACTGATTGTCCCAGGGCTTTTGCCCCTCTGAAACCCCTAATTCGTTCTGAAGTTTC